TATCAAAATATTCCTGAAATAGCACCGTACACCAACGCTGTGTGCAAAAATCCCAGTGGGATGCAAGTCAAATAACAACAACAACAACCACAAGACAACTAAGATTAAGGCCATCAGTCTAACTCCGTACTACAATAAACAAAAACATGGCCAAAACAAAAAACAACTTTTCGAAATCAACAAAATAAAAGCCATAAATCCAATGTAACAGTGATCATAGGGACTGTGACCGAATTTTTAACAATAAACTACGTAAATAAATTATAACACCAAAATCTAGAGCCATATTTTAGGCCACTGAATAGCAGTGGCAGCTAGGGTTGTACAACTCCTCTAGAGCAGTTTTGAGTGAAGATCTCATAGGTAGTGATTCAAGTTGCAGTTTATTGGCAATAGCATTCCGGACCCTGGGGGCATCAACAGCAAAGGCCCTTCCTCCAGTTTTTGTACGGCAATAGGGAATGTGAAGCTGGTAAATGAGCGAAGACCTGAGGTCAAAATTTGTTCTTTGAAACAGAGAGGAGATCCAGTAGGTAGTCTGCGGAATTTTTTGTAAGTACATCGTGAATAAATAAGATCTGGTGCACAAGCCGTTGAACATTAAGAGATGTTAAGTTTGACCCAATGTAGAGATCACAGTGGTGAGTCCTATATGGGCAGTTCAATGCAAATCTTAAGGCCGAGTGATAGATGGAATCAAGCTTCTTCAGTACAGTACTTGTTGCTGATTTATACACGATGTCACAGTAGTCAAGTAGAGGCAGTATGGTAGCTTTTATCAATTCCAAACGGAACATTGGGGGTAAGCAGTGCTTGTGTCGATACAGAAAACCAATTTTTATTTTTGTCTTTTTACCAATATGATCAATGTGATCTTCAAAACTAAGTTTTGAATCCAGGATGACCCCAAGATACTTATAGACCTTGACTTGCTCTATTTGATAATTATTCAAGGAATGTAATTGGGGAAAAATAACTTCCTGCTTTAGTCCCGGAGAGAAGCATAGCACCTTGGTTTTGTGATGCAGAGCGGCTTCCTCGCCGTCCCACATCTCGTCGCTCCATCCCCAAGTCTCTTGCCTGCCTCCGTGCCTGCCAAGTGTCCTGTCGGCGGTCTGGCTGCCAGCGGTTGTTTGCGGCACCGCCCGCGCGCTGTTCTTATTTCGCCACGGCCATTACCTGCCCTACCTCCCTTCTCCCCATTTACCCCATTTATCTATTACAAATGATAGATCGTCTGTGCTTCCTCAAGCGCCTTACTACAGTACTATTAAAAACAACAGTAATAAAGACTACAGTACAAATACTTAAGTTGATTTGGTGCTTTCGTGACTGCAGGAATTACTCTTTGTTTTTTTCGGTAAAGTCACGTATAAATAAGAAATAATAATAAAATAAAATTACATAATAGTATACATACGACGTTTCGATTGCAACGCAAGCAATCATCATCAGGTATAAAAGAGATAAATTTAAGAGAGAGAGGAAACACAGAGAGATGGAGAAGCACATCAAATTGAACAAGATTTAGTAAAATTTGGAAACAATATAATGCAGCTCAGAGGGTTGGTTATTATATTGTTTCCAAATTTTACTAAATCTTGTTCAATTTGATGTGCTTCTCCATCTCTCTGTGTTTCCTCTCTCTCTTAAACTTAGCTCTTCTATACCTGATGATGATTGCTTGCGTTGCAATCGAAACGTCGTATGCTATTATGTAATTTTATTTTATTATTATTTCTTATTTATACGTGACTTTACCGAAAAAAACAAAGAGTAAATACTTAAGTCTTTTTATCCCATTAACCATTTACTTATGACTCATAGAATTCAATACAACATAAAGGCATATCATACAAATGAAGTATCACCTTCACCTTTGATTACAGTGTGCTGATCCTCAAAGGTGCATTAACAATCGTTTGCATTTTCCCTCTTCATTGGCTCTTGCCCTAACATTACGTACATAGAAAACGAATCTTTACAAACTCAGTTGGTAAATATAAAAGTTCACATGTATGTGTGTAAGTCGATGTCTGTGTGTGTAAGTTCATGTGTGTGTGTGTAAGTGGATGTATGTGTGTCAGATATTTAAGGAATTTCCATTTGGTACAGATATAATGGGAGGCTGATCGATGCCCGGGTGCGGTCAATGGATTGCTCCCTATTGCTCAACTACATTATGTATGCCGATGATCTGGTAATTGCTGCTCACTCAGAGGAGGAGTTGGAGACTCTGCTGCTGAAACTGGAGCGTGCCGCTAAGAGGTGGAGCCTTACCATCAGCCCCACCAAAACGAAGCACCTGCCTGGGTATTTGTACCATCGGACACTCCACCCCCACAACTCCCAATCAGTGATGGGGCAGTTGTGGAGAGAGTGGAGAGTTTCCCATACCAGGACAGTGTGCTCATGACCGGCTCCGGTTTAACAGCAGAGGTCTCACGCCGAATCAGTCGAGCGGCAATATCTTTTCATCGGTTGCGTAACGCTGTGTGGAAGCTACCTGGTCTGTTGCTCCGCACAAAGCTTCAGGTCTTCTCGGCCACGGTCATTCCCTCCCTTCTCTCCGCTTGCGAAACGTGGAATCCCCTAATGGAGCATCGTCGCCGGTTAGAAACATTTAGGCTGGCCTGCCTGTGATCCCTCCTGGGTTTAACCAGGCGGGATTGTGTGAGGAGCTCACAAACCCTTGAATGATCTGGGCAAAGCCCCATCGGTGAGCTCCTCTGGCAGGCAAGGCTGCGTTGGCTGGGTCATGTAGCCCGCATGCCCAGCCACCACATGCCTAAACAGCTTCTGTTCGGCCGGATCGAGGGGGCTTAACGGGTGCGGCACGGGCTAGAGAAGAGATAGAGTGATGTGGTACAGGAGGACGTGGAGCTGAGTGGACTTGCCGATGACTGGTACCAGCGGTGTCAAGATCGGCCTCTGTGGAGGAGGCTCGTGAAGGACGCTACTGGGAAGTTGGAGGCAGTCGCCCTCCAACAACATCGGAGGGCGGAGGAGTGACGCTCACAACAACGAGCGGAGCGCCGGGTGGCTAAAGCACAGCAAGTTGGCACAGATGGTGCATCAGCCAGTAATCTCAGTCAGCTCAGTCAGTCGACCCGTGGCACCTGGATCTGCCCCGTGACCTCCTGCCAGCGGGCGTTCGACACTTCACGTGGCCTCAAGGTACACATGGCCTGGCACAAGCGACGTGGTGATGTCACCGCCACTTAGTGGCGAATGGCGGTGGTTGTTGTTGTGTGTGTGTCAGTCGCTATGTGTGTGCGTGTGTAAGTCGGTGTGTGCGTGTGTAAGTCGATGTGTTTGTGCGTGGGTCGATGTCTGTGTGTGTGTAAGTCTATGTGTGTGTGTGTCTTTTTCGCCGGGGCAACGCCGGTACTTCCCGCTAGTATATTATATACGTGTATGTGTGTGTACATGTGAGTGTGGGAGCGGTAGTGTGGTGGTTAGCACACTGTGCTATGTGCAGTGTGCTAACCACCAACACCAGTGACGACTATCTGAACAGGTCACGGGCCTCCCCTAGGTCGACTCAGCCTCAAATGAGTACCCGGTGCTGTGTGTAAACATCGCCACTGGGGAGACAAATGCGTGATGCTAGCCACAACACCCCTTTGTGCGACGTTCCGACCTTTTAGGTGCTACTCGCTAACGGCGCTTGCCCCAAACGTCTATGTCGGATGTAAGGGGGTCTTTTGTGTGTGTGTGTGAAAACCCTGCAGATGACCGTGCGGGGAGAGAGAAAGAGAGAGGGAGACCTGGGTGGGAGGGGAGCGGTTCTGACTTTGCTCGTGGTTTAAGCTCTACGGGGTGGGGAAAGTGGAAATGGGCTTGTGTAGTCGTGCCGTTTTTTTGTAAAAACAAACAAACCTATGTTTCACGACTCCTCTAAAAGCCCCCTGGGCCGCACTCCTCGCATCTGCCTCCTGCGCCACAATCCCCTGGACCCTTCCATTAACCCGAGCTGCCTCTAAGTCGCCCGATCTGCTTAAACTGTGCTGTGTAATCCTTTGCGACGTGCTCAAAGCTTTGCGGAGCGTCACTCGCAATCGGTGTCAGGAACAGCACGGACTGATCACCAATCGCTCCATCCCCTCTCCCCTCCCTTCTCCTCTGACAAGCAAGAAGACAAAGATCTTCCGTACAGCCTCAACAGGATGTTGCGGAAAGTGCTGTTAGCGAGCACGCGAGAGAGTGGGGGTGGTCAACATGACCAATGATGGTTGGCGATTATGTGGCCTTTTCCTGGGCCTCCACTCGGTCGACTCAGCCTGAAATGAGTAACTGGTGCAGTGTGTAAACATCAGTATTGGAGAGACAGAGGCTCCGTGCTATCGACATTACCGCCTGGTGTGCCTGGTTGACCTTCGTAGGTGCTCGCCAACGGCACTCATACGTTGGTATCTGTGCCTTTGTGCGCGTGTGTACCTGTGTGTGTGTGCGTGCCTGCGAGCGTGGGGAGAAATCATGTCACGGTTAGCGCACTGCGCTACGAACCTCGCCACCTGAGTTCAATTCTCGCTCACGACCAATACCAGTTACCATTATTTGAACTGGTCTTGGACCTCCCATAGGTCGACTCAGCCTCAAATGAGGAAATGGTGTGATGTGTAAACATCGCCATTAGGTAGACAAAGGCGGCTGGGCGTGGTGTTGACCACCCACCCACTCGTGTGCTGTGCTGGCCTTCATAGTTGCTCGCTAACAACACGTGCCCTTACAGATTGTTACAGACTATATGGGGGATCTTTGTCTCTTGCGTGCGAGCGTGCTGATCTGGGAAGAGTCAGTCACTTCCTAGTCAGTCAACCCATAACATCTGGTCCTCTTCCCGTGACCTCCTGTCGGCGAGCCTTGGACAACGTATTGTGACCCTGAAGTGCACCTAGCCTGGCACAAGCACCGTGGTGACATCACCGCCACAATAGTGGCGAAAGACGGCGGTGGCTGGAGGCCGTTGTTTTGCCGTTGTTGCGGTGCTTGCTCACCGAGCGATCTTGTCGCTGCAGGCCATGGCGAGGAGGGGCTCTCCCTGGAGGACGCCGTCCCACGTTTGTGGCTCCAGGCAGCGGCGAGCTGGCACCGTGCCCTCGCCACACTCCAGCTTCGTGCGCAGCTGGCCCCGAGCACGCCGCCTCGGGTGCCGGTCCGCGCCGACTGCATTACCTGCCCGAGTCGTCACCATCATCGTTGTCGTCATCATCATCCCACACGTGGTGCAGCACTCAGGCCCAGTCATCATCATCCCACACGCGGTGCAGCGCTCAGGTATCATTGGGACTTCAAATAATTAACTGCGGAACTAAACAACTCAGCAAGTTGGTAACTGGATAATCCAATGATAATAATGTAACTAGATAATTGTGAAACTGGGTAACGAAGCAAGCGGACAATTAGGCAACCGTGCCATTAGGTCAAGCTCTACCCCTAATACTTGCCATAATCCTGGCCCAAAACTTAAATGTTCAGACCGGCTGTACACGTGACCCTAACCCCGTGCCTCGTGCTAACCAGGTCCCCACGATGTTTCACTGGTCGTCTAAGTCTCACTCTCAGCCGCCGCCAACTCTGTGCGGAAGACAATCCCGCTTCGCCAAGTCCACACAGGGAAATTAAAAACGCAGGGCGTGAATTGAAATTGTCAATTATCGGAGTTATGTCGAGATTTTCATCAGGGTTATTATGACCCATGGCCGTTTGAGCAGCCGGAGAAACCGAGTATCGACGTCAGGAGGGGCGGTTGGGAACGCGGGAGGGCTCGTGATTGGTGGGTGAGAGCGGGGGGGGGGGGGGGCATGAGGCCAGGAGTGCTTTACCTCCACCGGTTCTCATCCCCATTCTCACTTGACACTCCACTTTTCCCGACGGTAGCCTCAATCTAATGGGAATGAGTTAAATTCCTCGTCATGGGTGCTTGAAGCCTCTAATGAGCTGCGTCAAACATCGGCCCACGTGTTCGGCGGATGGGAACATCGGTCCATTGTGGCACGGGGAGGTTAGAGAGCTACACTTTTGGTAGGGTAAAGTGTGGGTCTATCCCTTCCATCGATCTGTCCTATTTTGCTTACTCTCCTTCCCTCCCCCATTTCCCTCCTCCCTTTTAACCCCCCTCCCCCCCGTGAGTCTCCCACCATACGCATCCTTCACCTCGTCATCAAACAACTTGGGCCCGACCAACCTCTTTCTCGAGCCCTTTTAACACAACAACAACCCCCGTTTGCCACAAAGTGGTGGTGACGTCACCATGGCACTTGTGTCAGACCCGGTGCAGTTTCAGGCTACGTGAAGTGTCGAATGACCGCTGGCAGGTCACGGGACAGACCCAGGTGCCATGGGTTGGCTGACTGAGATGACTGGCCGATGCACCACCTGTGCCAACTTGCTGTGTTTTAGACGGCCGGCGCTCCGCTCGTTGTTATGAGCGTCGCTCCTCTGCCCTCCGATTTTTCTGGAGGGCTACTGTCTCCAACTGCCCATTAACGTCCTTCATGAGCCTCCTCCACAGAGGCCGATCTTGACACCGATACTCGGTTTCAGTTTCTCCAAGTTCAATCAGCTCAATATTTTCGCATACCACATCACAACATCCCCTCTCTAGCCCATGCCGCGCCCGTTTAGTTGCCTCTATCCGGCCGAACAAAAGCTGTTTGGACATGCGGTGGGCATGCGTGCTACATGACCCAGCTAACATAGCCTTGCCTGCCCAAGGAGCCCAGCGATGGGACTGGGTCCAACAGCAAATAACCGCCATTCACCACAAAGTGGCGGCGAGGTTTGCCATGGCGCTTGTGCCAGGCTAGGATCACAATGATAAAGATCCCCTGTATAGCCTGAACAGACTGTTGGGGCAAGTGATGTTAGGGAGCAACTATGAAGACCAGCATGGCACACGAGGGGGTGGGCGGCCAAAACCACGCCCATCCGCCTTTGTCTCCCCAGTGGCGATGTTCACACAACAGGTACTCATTTGAGGCTGTGTCGCCCTAGGGAAGGCCCATGACCGATTCAGATAATCGTCACCAGTTGGCCGTGAGTGGGAGTCGAACTCGGGTCGCCAGGTTCGTGATGTTTACACACCGCACCAGGTAATAATTTTGCGGCTGAGTCGACCTAGGGGAGGCCAAATGACCGGTTCAGATAATCGTCACTGATGTTGGTGGCCGTGAGCGGGAATCAAACTGGGGTCCGCCGGGATTTGAAAGGGCGAACCGGCTACACCACCGCCAAGGAGCACGCACCCTCCCTCTCCTGCGTGGAGAAGAGCCTGGCGTCCCCGCACGGCGCCGTGCTCACGTAGAGATGCAGCCTCCAGCCGGGCCGCAGGCGGTAGCCCCCGCCTGCACGCACCTCCACCACCGAGCTATCGCGCTCGCTGGCCACGGGGCTGTTGGGGGTGGGAGCAGAGCAGGTGGGGGGGGGGGGGGGGAGGTAAAAATGGGGATGAGGGAATTAGGAAGACGGGGAATGTGACGTGGGGTTAAATGTAACAATGGGCATGTGGGCTAGGATGGGGCGGACGAGGAGTAGGCTGAGGTAGTGTTGGTGAGGGCGACAACTTCTTTCGCACATACGTAGACAAAGAAATTAAAGACAAAAAGTTCTAAAATGAATTTCTTTTCAATCTAGATTATTTAAAAGTGCATAGCTCTGGTGGTGATAATACGTTGTTGCATAACTACACAAAAAGCTTCAACATCTAAATCTTACCTATAAAAGGCATTCTTTGTCTGTCCGTCTGTGTCTGTCTCTGTGTGGATGCACATTGCGAAGGATTTGGCTTGCAAACCATGTTTCATTAGATGTGTGTGTACATCGATATGTCTGTGTGTAAGTCGATGTGTGTGTGAGAGTCGATGTGCGGCAAAAACAACCCACTACCTCTTCGTGGTGCCGGACGGGCAACGTTGTCGTGGACAGTGCTGTGGGTGGGAGGGCCAATTCCGATTGGCCTTTCCCCTCAGGGCGTTTGTAACCATCACAGCGGCTAAATGGGGGCTCTGGACGGGTGCGAGGGGCTGGTAAACCCTCCACCTTCAATAAATTACCACAAAACCACGTAAAAAATATCTAATTAATAAGCTTGTGCCGGAGGCCCCGGGAGGACAGGCGTCTATGACGTCTCCTGGCTAAACCCCAGGAGATTGAATCTTTACCCTCGGGGCACCTCCAGAAACAACAAAAAGCCACTATGTATGACCACGTGGAATGTTCGAATGCTTATTGTGGAGGAGAGGCTGCCACTCCTCTGTCGGGAGCTGGAACAGTACCGCCTGGATCTCTGTGGTATTCAGGAGGTCCGGTGGACCGGCTCTGGCTCCTGCCACCATGAGGGGTGGACAGTCCTCTATTCGGGGCAGGAGACTACCAAACAACAGGGAGTGGCTCTTCTTCTGAACAAAAGAATGAAGGGGGCGTGGGAGCATGGCGGTGAGGTGTAAGCCCCAGGCTACTTTGGGCTCGCCTTCCCATCAACTGGAGGCGAGGAGTGGTGGTCGTGGTTACTTATGGCCCCACCGAAGATGAACATCCGTGGAGGGATGCAGGCAAGGCCAATGAGTCAAATGCCTTCTATGACCTCCTGTCACAGATCCTAGCTAAAGAGGCCCCTCGGGATAGAGTCATCTTGTTGGGTGAATTCAATGCCCGAGTTGGTCATGATGCTGGCACCTGGTCTGGAGTATTTGGAAGGCATGGGCCAGATCAGCTCAATAATAACGGTAGGAGGCTGCTAGATTTTTGTGCAGCCCATGGGCTTGTAATTAACAACAAGCTGTTCCGGCATCCACGCATCCACACCACATCATGGATGCATGCAGGGTCCAAGCATGAACATCTGCTGGACTACATAGTGACGGAACAGCGGATGCGGGCCCATGTCCTTGACACCAGGACCTACCTTGGAGCTGATCTGCCCTCTGACCATCGACTTGTCATCTGTAAGATGCACCTGCCATTCTTCCACTCCGGTGGTGGGTGTACACCCAGGACCCCATTCAAACCTAAGGTGGCCTGGTCTCTGCTAGCTGATGAAAGTTGCAAGCGAGAATTTCATCATCGCTTGTGGCTGGGGTTGGCATCATCCCCCACTCCTCCAGATGTCGAGGGTAAATGGGCAAGGTTTAGGACTGTGACTCAGGCAGCTGCAATGGCTGCTTTGGGTACGTTGTCCAGAACTCCCCAGAGACCCTGGCTGACAGAGGAGGTGTTCAGGATGGCGGAGAAAAGGCGACAGGCCCACTCTAATCATCTATAGCATCCAACGACAGAGAATGAGGAGGCTTACCGCAGCTTTCGCTCGGAGGTTCAGAGAGCCGTGAGGCACTACAAGGATGGGTGGTGGTCGCGGGTTGCTGAGGAGATGGAGTCTGCCTCAGTGGCCCGCGATCACAAATCGCTCTTTTAATCCATCAAAAAAGTAACTCACCTATTACCATCATTAGGGGAAAGAACGGTAATCCAATCTCCGACCATCAGGAACAGGTTTGCAGATTTGTTGAGCATTTCTGTGAGGTCCTGGGGGAGGGGAAATCCCTCAGCCAGGAAAACAACGTGTGAAAAAGGGGGATGAATTTGCTGAGTGGCTGGTTGAGGTGCCATCTGTTGAGGAAGTACTGAAGGCGATCGAGAGTCTGAGAACATGAAAGGCACCGGGCAGAAAGGAACTCCCAAGAGAAATGCTGAGGGAGGGTGGCGTTTGTGCACAGACTGCCCTACATGACATAATAACAACAGTCTGGACCACTGGACGGGTTCCACAGCATTGGAAGGATGCCCTGGTAGTCCTTCTCTTTAAGAAGGAGGACCACACAGACTGTAACAACTACAGGGGCATCTCACTCCTCAGTGTGCCGGGAAAGGTCCTGGCAAGGATTATTCAACATCGCCTTGCTAGGCACGCTGAGGAGAGGCTTGCGGAGCCCCAATGCAGTTTCAGGAAAGGGCGGTCTTGCACAGATGCCATATTTTCTGTCCGTCTGCTGCAGCAGAGGTGTAGGGAATTCCAACAAGACCAACATCTCTGCTTTATTGACCTGGTCAAGGCCTATGATACCATCAGTAGGCCTGGGCTCTGGGTTGTTCTTCGTACTTTCGGAGTCCCTGACCCTCTGCTCATGATCATTAAGGACCTTCATGATGGTGAGCGGGCCTGGGTAAAACTATATGGCCGAGAGTCAGAGCCATTCCCTGTACACCTTGGGGTGCGACAGGGATGTCTCTAGGTCCCACATTATTTAACATCTATTTTGACCACATAGTTCGTGAAGCCTTTGATAGCTGTACCGGAGGAATTTCCATTTGGTATGGATACAATGGGAGGCTGATCGATGCTCGGGTGCGGTCAAGGGATGTGTGTGAAAAACATCTTTGCCTGTTAGAAACATTTAGGCTGGGCTGCCTAAGATGGGTTTAACCAGGCTGGATTGCGTGAGGAGCTCACAAATCCTTGAAAGATGTGGACAAAGTCCCATCGGTGAGCTCCTCCGGCAGGCAAGGCTGCGTTGGCTGGGTCATGTAGTTCGCATGCCCAGCCACCGCATGCCTAGACAGCTTTTGTTCGGCCGGATCGAGGGGGCTAAACAGGCGCGGCACGGACTAGAGAAGAGATGGAGTGATGTGATACAGGAGGACGTGGAGCTGAGTGGACTTGCCGATGACTGGGACCAGCGGTATCAAGATCGACCTCTGTGGAGGAGGCTCTTGAAGGACGCTACTGGGCAGTTGGAGGCAGTCGCCCTCCAACAACAATGGAGGGCGGAGGAGCGACGCTCACAACAATGAGCGGAGCGCCGGGTGGTTAAAGCACAGAAAGTTGGCACGGTAGGGGGCACAAGAGGTGCATCAGCCAGTCGTCTCAGTCAGTCGACCCATGGCACCCGAGTCTGCCCCGTGACCTCCTGCCAGCGGGCGTGCGACACTTCATGTGGCCTCACGGTGCACATAGCCTGGCACAAGCATCGTGGTGACGTCACCGCCACTTAGTGGCGAATAGCGGTTGTTGTTGTGTTTGAGTCCCTATGTGTGTGTGTGTTTGTAAGTCGATGTGTTTGTGTGTGTGGGTCGTAGTCTGTCTGTGTGTGTAAGTTGATGGGTGTGTGTACGTCGATGTGAGTGTGTCAGTCGATGTGAGTGTGTCAGTCGATGTGTGTGTGTGTGAGTCGATGTGTGTGTGTAGCTCGCTGTGTGTGTGAGTCCATGTGTGTGTGTTATTCGATATGTCTGTGTGTGTGCAGTCCATGTTTGTGTGTGTGTGTGTAGGTCGATGTATTTGTGAGTCTATGTGTGTGTGTTTAATTCGATCTGTGTGTGTGTAATTTCATTTGTGTGTGTGTGTGTCGGCAGTGCAGCAGTAAGCGCGCTGCACCACGAACCCGGCGACCCCAGTTCGATTCCCACTTACGCCCAACACTGGTGACGATTATCTGACCCGCTCTTGAGCCTACCCTGGGTCAACTCAGCTTCCGCTGAGTGCTGATGGGAGTGAGGATTTCCCTCGCGTACAAAATGCCGAAAAGAAAAAAACAGGCCTCTCCAAAAAAAAAAACCACACAAAGAGAGTGCCGCTGTTGCATGCACAACAAACAGTGCAGGAGCAGCGACTTTCCCGAACTAACAACGGACGCACCTCAGTAGCACAGGCTGAGGGAACTGAAGAGCAGCGTGCACGTAACCAAGCTACAGACTGCGCAGCCACTGCTGCAGCCAAAGTTGAGGTACACCCTGAACAGCATGCATGGAGACATGGCAAAAGAATGCATATCCAATTCTGCAGCACAGGCTAACGATAATCCTAATCCGAGTGCATTTAGACGAGCCAGAAAGCGCACAGAAACTGCTGCAGCACAGGTTGAGGAAAATCCTCATCAGCGTGCATCTCGACATGCCACAATCCGCGCAGCCACTGCAGAATCACGGGCTCAGGAAAATCCTGATCAGCGTGCATCTCGACATGCCCGGAACCGCGCAGTCACTGCGGCGGCCCGGGCTGAGGAACCACAACATCACTCAACGGCACTCCAGACCCAAGTCCGTCGTGCCACTGCATCAAGAGCAAGAAGAAATAACCCTGACTGGAATAGAGCTGCTTTAAATTACCAACCAGACACCAATTATCAATCCATAATTACATTAGGCACTATGTGAATTACTTGTGCAGAATGTGGTGCTATTAAACTGGAAAGGAGAATCTAAGGGGATGTGCTGCAGTGATGGAAAAGTTAAACTTTGCCTTGTGCAGACCCCCCCCCTGAGCCACAGAAATCCTTGGTATCTGGCGACATCCCTCAGTCTAAACACTTTCTGACCAACATCAGGAAGTACAATTCTTGCTTTCAAATCACTTCTTTTGGTGCAACTAAGGAGATAGTGGAGCCAGGATTTATGCCC